TTTTCCTTCCTGCCATGTAGGGAAAGCAAGAGGAAAAAGGGATTTTCTCAAACTGAAGAACATCAGGCAATGGCTCAGAGTTTTCTTCTGTTCCCCTGAAATTCCACCCCCAAACTCTTCTCTGGATCATCCAGCAAAAGATGCACAAGGAATATGCACAAGTGTCACTGAGAGTTTTCTACTCCAGGAAATTCCAGCTCTTTTCTTCCAAGCTCCCTTTAAAAAGACTGATCATATTTAACATTTCCCATTAATGTCATCAAGTTATTTTGAGCAAAGTAACAGGAAACACACAATTTTCTCTGAGGGGGGAACAAATTCAATATTCCATCTTATCTACTTAAGGATTAAGATTTCTCCCACTTTTCTATTTTTGAAAGAAATAATGAGTTGCTAAAAATAACCTAAAAAGAGTTTCATTGTAGAGATGTGCATATTAAGGGAATAAATTTCTTAATGACATCATTTATAGCTACGTGTTCTCATTTTTATAGATGGGAGAGCAGCTGAATAATTTCTTTCCTTTCCCACTGAAAAGCCTGACAGAAATATTGTGCTGCTGCAAAGCAAAATTGAAAAAAAAAAATTAGAAATTTGAGAGTTTTACTTCATTCCCATAGAAATAACGGAGAAGCATAAATATTTTGCTTTCACAAAAATTTTTTGGTTTCATTTGCTGATTTCTCAAGGAAGGTTTGTGTGCCAACACCTCAGAGGTCAGAAATGAGAATTTCAGAGTGTGTCAGCTGCACAGCCTGGGCAGGAATTGCATTTTGGCAGCATTGGCACACTCAGGCCATTCCCAGAGCACCACTCGTGTCCTTGAGCAACAACTCTGAAAAGAAAGGGGAAGGAAAAGCCTGAAACTCTTCACTGATTCAGTTTCAAGAGCATTTCCCAAAAGCAGAAGCTGCAGCAGCATTTTGGTCACAGACCTCAATTGCAGGTGCCCGTCCTAGAAAAAAAAATGCTGTAAATATTCATCAAATGTTTAATTGTTTAATTGGCATTGATGTGAAGCTGATCAATGCTTTCAGTGGAAACCACAATAAATAAAAACATTCTCATACCACAAACCTCATAGAAATGNTAATGACAATAATAATGACAATAATAATGACAATAATGATAATGACAATAATGATAATGACAATAATGATAATGACAATAATGATAATGACAATAATGATAATGATGATGATAATAATAACAATAATAATAATGATAACAACAACAACAACAATAATAATAATAATAATAATAATGCATTTTGCCCCAAAATAATCTGATTTTCCAAGTTCCAAGCTCCCTGTGCTGCTGCAGTACCTTCACCCACCTTTCAGCTTGCCAGCCAGCGCTGTTGGAAATGGAGGGATTGAACAGAGGTGGTGGAAATGAACGTGGTGAGAGGCAAGCAGAGAGACAGAAAACATGAAAATATTCAAGGTCAGCACACACCAACAGGGCTTTAACCTGAAACCACCTCACATGCACAGAAATGCTGCTTCCAACAAGCATGCACAACCCAAAGGGGAAAGAAAGAAATGGGATGGATGTGTTGAAGTTGGTTAGATTTGGATTTGAGGGAGCTCAGTGGGGTTTTTTGGGTTGTTCTGTGTTTCTGAAGAGTTCAAGCACTGCAGAAAATCGAAAGTTGTGTCACCCAGAGCTCCAAACTCTGAGCAGAGCCCTCAGCACAGGGAGTGCCCTGGGCAGGCACCACCAGAGCACCTCTGCTATTTCAGGGCCCAGAGCAGGAGAGGTCATGCAAATATTGAAATTCCAACTGCAGCAATTGAGATAGAGAGTGCAAACCCAACTCCTTTCTACTCAGGGACATTTTCCACAGGGGATCTCCTTCCATTGCCTTTACAATTCACTCCATGCACCCCAAATCCTCCACAGGATTCCAGCTGAAGGGTGGCCATTAATTAAATCTGTCATTAGAGAAGCACAAAGCTTATTTGGAAATAATAAACCAAAAAAAGGGCAGAATTATCAGCCATTTCTTCCATGATTAATCACTGATCTCATTTCACAGCACAGCTGAAGGTTTATTTACTTACTTCAACAATGAATTCACTCTTTTATAAAAATAATGAGCCTCATTTTACTGTAGGACCTTAAGGAATGTGAATATTATTTTTTCAGTCACAAATTCAAACTAGATTGCTGTTTAGTTATAGATATATGTAGTCAACTGAGGCAGATTAATATTAAGTATTAAAAAGTGAATGTTAATTAGAATGAACTGTCTTTTAATGAGTTACACCAAGAATTATTGTAGCTGCAGATTCCTAATCTCTGAGCTGAAATCCTGTTTTAAGGAAAATTAATCTGTACTGATTATCAAGTGCTGCAGGAACAAATGAACCTCCAGCAATAAAATATCCTCAGGTTTGTCCTGTGTTCTCAGAGAATTCAATCCAACTAAAAAGAAGCTGATCACAGCCAAGAAATTCCAACAAGTTAAAGAGAGGAAAACGCCAAAATGCCAGGAGCAAGCATGGGAAGAGTGAAGGAAGGATCAGCTTCGCAAAAATAAACATCATTAATATTTCAGTCTTTCTAGAGGAAAGCCACGTGTCACAGCAGGCCAGGAGCACTCCAGGATTCACTATGGTTGTGCCACGGAGTCCAAGCTCGGATGTGGGACAGGGATTGTGCCCAGCTCTGTCACACACAGCCCTGCATCACCTGCCTGCAATCATTAACAAACACTGCACTTTTCTGTAGCCAGCAGAACGAGTCAGGATTGCAAACAATTCATGGAGGAGGAGCTCTAAAAGCTCTTAAAGCTGTTTGGTGTCCTAAGTGAAATCAGTGTTTCCTCTTGATGGGACATTTTCTTCTTGGTTTATATAACAAATATCTGGAGATGTTTTGAGAATGCCAAAGTTCTTGAAGTGGTTTCAACTCATAATAATCAGATTTGTAACAGCAACCTGATTTTTTTAAAATAAAAACACAAAGAAGCACAAGATCCAGCTAATTCTTACAAAATTCTTATTTTGTTGATTTTTTATCCTGAAGTGGAGCTCAAAGAAGCTTCAGCTTTACACTTGTGGCTCCCTTCTAAAAAGCAAAGGTTAGTTTAGAGATTCAACAGCACCTCAGGATGCTGGACTTGCCTTTTTTTTTGCCATCTTCATGTTGGAGAGCACGAGTTACAACTGGCACAACCCTAGTTTGTGTTTAGCAAAGCCCAACTGAGAGCCAAGCTCACTAAAAGCAGGCAGACAGCTCGCCCAGGCTGTGCTGCATTACCTTCAGAAGGGGAAGCCAGTTCCCAGGAGGGAGTAAAAATCTCCTTCAAATCCCTGAGAATGTTATCAGCATTTCTCTCCCTCCCCAGCTGTCCTTGCTTAGGGGTTTTCTCTTCAGCTGCTGAAATAAAAAGGCCAAAGCAAGCAGGGCACCACGAGCAGGAGCATGGCAGGACAGGTGGTGAAGGGACAAAAAAAGAAAAGATGGAAAGTGAGAAAAATGAACATTTAAAAAAAAAAAAAGGTTTAATGCAGGTGAATGAATGCCTTGTGTAGCAGCTGCTGTCATGCACCAGGACAACTCTAACTAGAAAAATGCTGAGTTTCAAATTAAGGAAATGCATTGTCTCTAAGGTTAAGACAGATTAATGCTGCTTTTCCTTCTGGAATTCCTCCTCCAGAGCCCAGCACCTCCCAGCTTCTGCCTGTGAGCTTTGCTGTGCCAAGCCAGCAGTGCCATTCATCATTCCTGCCTGTAACACATTGTGAGGAACAAACACCCAGCCAGCCACAAACCTGATACTGCCAGCCCACACAAACACTGCCAGCCTCACTTTTATCTGCAGCTCAGGGCACCCTGCTCACACATCCCATTCTCCTGCCAAACTGGGGCACTCTGCAGCACCAGCTGCCATCTCCTCACTGTGAGTGTGATATTCCTGTCCCACACAGCAGGCTGGGGTGACTGACAGGCAGCACCTTCTCTGCTGCTCTGTCTCTGCAGGAGGAATTCCCCTTGCAGCCCTCAATCCTGCTGTGACACCACGGCTGAGTCAGGAATTCCTCTGCAATGTGTGCCAGAGGAACTTCCCCTCAGCAGTGCCAGCACCACGAACACATTTCTGCTGCTCAGTGGTAAAATCACACAGAAACACAGGTTTGGCTCTAGTTAACAGATTGTTTGCCATCACTCACATTTTTCTGTGTTTTCAGTAGCAATCACTCTCCAGAAGCATCACTATTCCAACTTTTAAAAGTCAAAGCACAGAGCATTAATCTGCCTTTTAGAACAACACATCTGCCAAAAACCTTTCACTTTAAAATGCACAGAAGCACAAAAAGCAAAGGAGAGTTACCCTTCTTAGCTCCTGCTCTGGAGGAAGCAGTGAAGAACTTCTTCACAGTGGTGACCTTTCTTGTTTTCTCATTGGTTTTCTTCTCCTCAAACTTGGAGAAGGTCAGGGACTGTGCCCCCTGGCTGCTCTGGCTGCTGGCATAGGCTTCCTCCTCCTCACGCTGGAGCCTGCAGGGGGGAAACACAGGTCTGGTGTCACAAACACATTTACAAAAAATCCTTTTGTTGGGATCTTTTCTCCTGAGAGGCTTCAGAAACAAAATGTAAGCAATGATTATCTGCTGCTGTGGAATGCAATAGGTGAATCTTTGATTGGTCTCATGTGGTTGTTTTTAATTAATGGCCAATGTCAGTCCAGCTGTCTCAGACTCTCTGGTCAGTCACAAGATTTTGTTATCATTCCTTTCCTTCCTTTCTAACCTTCTGATGAAATTCTTTCTCTTTTTTTAGTACAGTTTTAATATATCATTTTCTTTTAATATAATATACATCATAAAATAATAAATCAGCTTTCTGAAACATGGAATCAACATTCTCATCTCTTCCCTCATCCTGGGATTCCTGCAAACCACCACAGTCTGGTTTAAGGGCTTAGAAACAAGGCAAAGGAGCTGATTTCCTGTGCAATCATTAATTCCTCATTTTACATTTTAATTCTTCCCCCTGCCTATCTCCCTTCACTGCAGGACACCCCCATTTCCATGCTGCAGAGGGAGAAGTGAGGAAAGCTCAGGGTTAAACAGAGAGGGGCAAAGAGAGAAAACTGAGGTTTAAGCATGGTCACCTTCCCCTGATGTCACACTCTGAATTACCCAAAGGCACAGGGGGGATTTCCAGCAGGAAATTCATTTCTAGCAGCAGATTCATT